GGCGTCGGAGACGGCGCGTCAGGGAAGGGGGGCCGAGGCGGCGCGCGGGCAGACCAGCCCCTCTCCGCCACCGCTGCCCAGATGCCGGCGCAGCTGGACAGCTGCTGCTTGCGCTCTTGCCCGCCGGGGAGAAGTTGGCAAGAAGGGGGACTTGGGGGGGACCGGGGAAGCGCTCCAGCCGCCTCCGGCTTCCCGTTCTGGGATCCCGACTCTGATTCCTCCTGCCTCGAGTCTGAGCAGCCCCTGAACTGTAGCCGTCGGACGGACGGCGGAGGCTTGCGGGCGCCTGAGGCGGACCTCCTCCGCCTGCCTCGAGAACCGCTTGGCGAGGGCAGCCCAGACGAGGGTGCTCAGAAGAAGCCTCCTGCCTTCACCAGCCCCTGCCCGGGGGGCTCTGGGAAGCTTACAGGCTACTTGAGGAGGACCCCCCCTCTCCTCTCCTCCGCTCTTTGTTCCCAGCACCTGGTATTCAGAGATAGACTGCCTCCTCCCTGGGAGGTTCCATTAAGCGCTCCTGGCTCATAGCCACCGATAGACCGAACCCCCCTGAATCTGACTGGTCTTGTATTTCTGGCATCTCGTGGCAGCGTGTGCGCTCGCTGCCACGAGATGCCAGAAATACAAGACCAGTCAGATTCAGGGGGGTTCGGTCTATCGGGGTGAGCACTCTCTGAAGTATGTAAGGACCAAGTCCTTTAGGGACTGCTAGTGGGTAGAACCTGCTGGAGAGGGAACCAAGGAGGTAGGGCTGAGCTCTGTGGAATGGGTGGGTGATCCCTGGCACCTGTGCACACACCAGGTCACTTTGCTTGGCACCCAGGGCCAGAGCTCCACCACAGCAGCCAAGGCACTGCTGGGGCCAGCAATAAAGGCATAGGCAACAAGCATAGCTTATGCCTGTCACCGCCTTTTGGACCCACACAAGGGGAATCTCTGAGATGCCGGCTGTGCCACCAGGGCATGGCTTGCTCCAAGCATGTCTGGCCAAGTCCAGCCATGGTCTCCCCCCAGCACATCAGCATTGTTCACTGGTAGACATTGCTTGTTGGTTTTTTAAAATGAGGACTTGGTCCAAAAAGGTTGGCAACTCCTGTGGTACAATTGAGTCTGTGAGCTTTGTGGGAAGGACAACATTTCAGAGCATGTAAACTGGGATGTGCAATTGGATATGAACTAACCAGCCCCATGAAAGGACAATGTCCTGTTCTTTAATGCTAATGTTCATAAGTTTTCCAGATCGCAAAACATTAATAGCAGTTGGTCATATCGAGAAAGATTTGGATCAGCCATTATTCTGATGCTTGGATCTAGATTTCAAGAACGGCTGAGGAAGAGAAGAGAGGGTGATGAGTTAGAGCTGACAGGGATGTTTACCAGTTGGCAGAGTTATACACAGAACTCATCCTCAGAGAGGACTGAGCTGATCTTTCCAAAGCCTGGCTTATTCCAGTCATAGGCTGGGGGAGGAGTTGATTCTGTAAGCAGTCCTGGCTCCTGTTTGCTATTCTGTTCTCTCTGGAATTGCAAAATATAGAAGCAAGCTTTTCACTTTGGTTACCATGCTGGCATACAGGCACACAGTGCTGCAGACTGGTGGAGATAAAATAAATGCTATACTTGCCTGTGCATGCATGAGCTACCACTGTTTTGCTTGCATGTCCTGGCAGACAGTGATGAAGACTGGGGAAAGAGGAATGCTGTGCCATCTTCATAGGCATGAGATGCAGTCAGTGACAAGATGGATGGAAAAACAGACAGACAAGAGAGAGCAACTTTGTATGTGGTTAACCCAAACCTCTCCTTCTACCATCTGCCCAGGAAATCCAAACTGGACAGTGATGTTCTAGAATACCTGCTGTAAAAAGGTAAAGGTAAAGGTTCCCTTGCTCGAAAGCCAGTCGAATCGACTCTAGGGTTGCGGTGCTCATCTCCGTTTCAAAACCGAAGAGCCAGCGCTGTCCGAAGATGTTTCCGTGGTCATGTGGCTGGCATGACTAAACACCAAGGCGCATGGAATGCTGTTACCTTCCCACCGAAGTGGTATCTATTTATCTACTTGCAATTTCTTGCTTTCGAACTGCTAGGTTGGCAGGAGCTGGAACTAGAGACGGGAGCTCACCCCGTCTTGCGGCACCCCTGGGTCTTGAACTGCTGAACTACTGACCTTCCACACCCTGCAGTTCAGCGTCTTAACCACTTGAGCCACCGCAGCTGTACTGCAAGACTATCACCCTCTCCCAATTCTCAGAAATAATTATGTTCATATTCAGAGTAGGGATGATTAAAAAATCCATATAGACTGCAAAATTGAATAGAATCAGAGGCACCACTGTGCCATATTGGAACAGCACTGTGGTGATGTTCCAATATGCACACACCACCCATCACCACTGGGGAAAGGACATATTTGTTGTAAACGGTCTTGAGAGCTTCAGCTACGGGCACTATAGAAATGAAATAAATAATAATATAGAAATGAAATAAATAATAATAATAAATAACAATACAGTCAGTAAGAAGGTTCACAAATGGGCATGGGGTGGCAGGAAACAGGCAGGTGGAGGTGTGTGGGGCTGGAAGGGAAGTAAGAGTGGGGGTCCCAGGGAAAGGAGGAGAGGGCCCCCTGGGCACTCTGTGACCTCTTCTTCCAAACCTGGAATCAGCCCCGATTTAGATATTACATAGTACATAGGTTGGATCTGGGGTTCCCCACCCTGTGCCATGTGTGATAGTCAGACAAGAGCTGTAGGTTTTCCTTAATTCCTATATTTGTGGTGGTGCCCAGTTCAGACTGGGATTTTGGCACTCATGGAGGAGGGGCTTCAGTCTTCCCTCCTGTGCCATTTTCTGAACCTGAAAAGCTCCAGGGGGTGCTACTTGGCCTACCGGGAAAACCTTGTCGCTTACAGAACTACTTCTAAGAGCCGGGATTTGAAGATTAGTTCTCCAATGTCCACAGTCTCTACAGATTTCTTGGGAAAGATGCTGTTGGGCTGTTGCCTTGGAGGGCTACTGGAGGCTCAGAGTAAGCCAAGCTAAGATCCGGTGGTCCTGGCAGTGTGGCTGAGGGCCATTCATCTAAAACTCAGTCAGTGGTGTGACCATAGATGTAGGTTTGCCCATTGCTTCTCCTCACAGGACCACCATTTGGCACTGAAGCAAGTGGCCACTGCTGGGCATCACGGCCTGCCCCAGCCCAGCTAGCCATTGGTCCATTTTCATAGCCCACTCCACCCATATTTCCAACAGTTCAGAACTCTTGGAGACTGCTGTCTGGGTCAGGAGAGGTGTGCAAGTGTTGTTGAGAAGGGGGGGGGGGTTCTGCCCCCAGCACCTCCTTCTTACTGATTCCCGAATAAGCTCTGGAGAAGCAGTCAGGCTGCCTCGGCTATTGCCTGCCAGGGTAGCTCCTGGTCCTTGCAAAGGCACCCCTCCAGATCGACCTCCCAGGCACCAAGGTGCTTCACAGCAACAGAGAAATGCCTGCCACTGCTGCCAAGCTGGGATGAGGAAGGGGAAGTTCACCAACAGCCAGGTGGAAGTTCCTCAAGCTGCTTGCTGGGGGTGTAAAAGTATGTGCTGAAATTTCCCACTGCTATTTGTAATAATAATTAATAATAATTATTCTATGGCATGGCATTGTGTCTGGTATAGCCAGGAGATCCGAAGACTGTCTGGCTGCCTTAAGTACTAGCTCCTTTTAGTGTTATGCACCACTAGGTGGTGAGCTAGGCTTATTTTTGGGGCTGAGAGAGCTCTGAGAGAACTGTGACGGACCCAAAGTCCCCCAGCTGGCTTCATGTGTAGGAGTACAGAATCGAACCTGGTTCTCCAGATTAGAGTCCACCACTCTTAACCACAATGCCATGTTGGCTCTCGGACTGCTATTTGTGCCTACTCCTGCTATTTGTGCCAAGAGTAGACCCAGACTGGGGCAGCTGCTGCATGGCATCTGAATTGCCCTTGCCCATTGCTGCAGCATCCCAGTGCCATGCTGCACTGGAGGGGGCAGCAGAAGCTGCTCTACAAGAAGAACTGCAGGGGGCTCTCTCCTCTCAAAGATGGTGCCAACCTTCCCCCCCCCCACACACACACAGATAAAGTGGGATTCGGTTTAGGCACAAACAAGAAAGAAGAAAGTGGATGAGGCTGACAAGGTGCAATTTTCCATTCTCAGGAGACATTCAAATCACACAGTGTGTAGTGTTGCTTTCCAGAAAGTCCTACTGAAGCTCAGCTGCCACCATTCCAAAAGCCACTGCCTGCCTGTGACACCTTCTCCAAGAAGGCAGACATTTGGAAGGGTGGTGCTTAACCAGCTCCCCCTTCTGGCTTATACTACAGCCCATCCCAAGCTGTGCACTTGTGTTGGGGGTGAGTTGCTGCCAAGGGTGCCAACTCTGCACTCCCTTCCTCTGCCCGTGCCCCCTCCACTGCCATCTCGGGTATTGCTCCCTGCCTCTTGCTCATTATTTACACAGGGAGCTTGTGCTTGGTGGAAATTGCCTGGAGTCTGTGCACACTGCAGTGAGCTGATCAACACACACAGACAGCCCAATTGACTATTAATGCGTGTGTATTCAGGATGAGTAACACACACAGACAAGCCTTAACAATTTGTGCGCACCACAGATAATCATAGCAACACACAACAGTGACACCAGCAGACGTAATACAGAGGACTGAATTAGCACAGCCCCGAGAACTGACGTTGAAGGGAAAAGGGGGAAATCCTTCACATGCTAGCTAATAACGGCACTCTCGCACACGCACAATAGCAAATTACTCCCTCTTTCTCTCTGGCACAGGGGGAAAAAAATCAGCAACACTGTAGCGATGGCAATAGAACTGTGCCAGACACACAGTCTAAGAAAATAATATTTGCACAGACAAAAGGGGCACTTTTGAGGGGTTTCTTTCTTATATAGAATGAAGGAGACAACCCCGCTAAAGCCAATTAACCCCTTCTGGGAGTTGTGGAAACACAATGAAGAACCCATACAGCTACAATCTTCTAGGATAGCAACATCTGTTTTTCTGTGTTCACTGGAAAACTTCCATGTCAGTTATACTGTCTCCTTACTCACTCCCTTTCCCTATGACTGCTGTGAATGCCAAACCAGGTACTAGAAAAATGAAGAAATTAAAATATTGTTGAACAGCTACACCTTTTGATTTCCTTTTTCCTTATAATAATGACTGTAGGGACACAGGAATCAAATGCTCCTGTCTGTGCCCATGTGGGAGGGAGAAAGTGATGCAGCCACGTTTGGGTCTCTGGGCCAGCTAGGCTTCTCTTTCCCCACTCCCAGTTTCAACCATTTTTCTCTCTTGGTACCAACCCACAGCCTGCAGTTCAGTGTCTTAACCACTTGAGCCACCCCAGCTCTTGAACTGCAAGTAGATCAATAGGTACCACTTCAGTGGGAAGGTAACAGCATTCCGTGCGCCTTGGTGTTTAGTCATGCCGGCCACATGACCACGGAAACATCTTTGGACAGTGCTGGCTCTTCAGCTTTGAAATGGAGATGAGCACCGCAACCCTTGAGTTGGATTCGACTGGCTTTCGCGCAAGGGAACCTTTACCTTTTTACCAACACACTGGTCAATTAATATGGCAAGAACCAGCTAAGGGCTAGCACCTCTGCCTTTCGGTGCTTTGTGTAGCAGCTCAGTACTTTGAATTTTCCTCCATTACCAAGGTGATCCAGTACTCTGTAGGAAGTGTAGGATGTGTGGATCCCCTGCTGTCCCTCCCTTCTTCTCTTTGAGTCAACATAACTCAACAGGGCTTTAATGTCAATCACAGAAATCAGAATGGTTGCATTCAAAAGGAAACGTTCTTTAAGAAGAAAATAAAATTTTAATACCTCATCTGCCAACACATTGGACTGAGCAACGAACAAAAGAAAAGGTGTTAACATGCAGTCTTCTGATCCAAACTCTTACATTACCCTAATGATGGGGAAGAAGGTGTTTAATTCTTTAATGATGGTGT